TTTTATATAAAAAAATTGTATTTTTGTCATGCTTTGAAAAAACGTAATACAAGAATTAGTCAAATAATATTATAACTAGTTTATGATTATTTGTTATAACTTGATCTACATTTCAAAAGCACTAAAAAAAAAATTATTTTGTTTGTTTTAATATACAAGAGTATAAACTTGTACATAAAACACATTTTTAATAAAATAAAAAATAGATCAGTTTATTTTTTATGTTTTTGTATTAGAATGATGAGGTTTTAATCTAATAAGATAAGAATATCTTTATTGAGGAGGATTTTTCTTAATTAAACTCTAAATAGACCAACATATAGAAAACTCAACATTACCCTAGTTTACACCATACCAAAAAATAATGCATTTTATCTCAAGTAATGCATACTAGAAAAACTAATACCTTTTCTTTATGAGTTTAATCCTTTTACCCGGACTCTAAGATTAGTTAGGGTTTTCAATTATCAAAATATTAGGTGATGACTCTTATTTCTTTTTTATTACTGTTAAAGGACAAAAATTTCTTATTTTTTGCACCCATATTATTCCCGCTAATCCTGATTTGAAAGGATGATTGTCACAATACCGCACACATGTGATATAGATAATTTTTTTATTACTAACAAAATCACTAACATATTTTCTTATCTATTGGTGAGTTCACCGAGAAATTAGATTTTTTTTTTATTTTGTAGTCATTAAATTACAAAATAACAAAATTTACAATAAAATCAAACACTACTAATGTTACTGAACTTTAAAATTTTATTAATTTCAATATTTATTACAATATTAATTTTAAAAAAAGTAAATACATCGTATATTTCGGTAATAAGTAGTTCCTGTATATATTTTTTACTTTGAGAAATATATACACACACATGTAATGTATTAAGGCAAATCAAATAAATAATGTGTAATTCAATCATTTCATGGTAAAAGAATATCCACTCAAGATCACCACAAATCAGTGATCGTTTCATGGCATGAAGATTGCCAAGGCAAACCAAATAATTGATGTACATGTCAATCAATAATTTGTTAACAGAAGATGAGCATACCCTTGTAACCACAAATATTTGCAGTTATAAATATATTAATTGTATAATAAGATGGTGTCTTGCAATTTATAAACACCAACATTCTTTGAGATAACCAAGACTCCTTCCTGGATCCCAATCTTTTTTTTTTTTTAAAAAAAAAGAAACTTAAATTAGCTCTCCCACAATCTTTTTTTTTTTTTTTAAAAAAAAAAAGAAACTTAAATTAGCTCTCCAACTACTTGTTAATTCAATATGGTGTCCAAATAGAAGATTACTTCGATTGAGTCCCTCACCTATTTAGAATACCTCGATTGGGTCTTCCTAACTTATTATTCATAATTTTTTAATAGAAAATATCAAATTCTCTGTGAAACAGAGTAATTAAAATATACACATCAACTAGTGATAATAATTAATTTTATTTAATGTTTTAATTAGTATCGGTTTGGCCAACAACATATTTAATTTACCATTATAACCTCCCAACACTCATTTTCAGCAAGTTTTTAACTATGTTGTGACAGGTCTTTAACAAAAGGGTCCAACGAGCTACTAAAATCAACGAGAACCGATCATCCGAGCTAGTTTGAAATAGGATGGTTAGAAGCTACCCGCAGATAAAATATAGTACACTTATGCCTTTACCTGCCTCCAATGTATATTTATAAACACAATTTACAACTACATGGCAGTAGATAATTAATGTTCGAGAACGTTGTAATAATTACTTTTAAAAATAATTTTTATTTAAAAATTTATTTTTAATATTAAAATAAATATTTTTTAACAAAAAAAACCTAACTCACTCATGATTTGTCAATCCAAATATTCACCAAACAGTTGGATTGAAAAATCAATGATTGGGATCTTTATCAAGTCAATGTGTTGTCAAATTTTTTGTGTTCTCTGACAAATGTTGTACTAAATTAACTATCATCAGTTTGATCATTTTAGATATTAATTTTTTTCTTTGTGCTTCCATGCTTACCATTTCTTTATTAGTACAAAATTAATAAAATAATTTTTTTATATGAAATACAAGATCATTTTATTAAATAGATGCTATAGCCAAAAAAAAAAAACATGGCTTAACACAGAAAGAGAAAACAAAATTTAAATTAGTCAGAATACATTCTTACAATATAATATAAATCATATTAAAAAAAAAAGATAATTAAGATTTTTAAAGGTGTACAATGATATTTTCACTTGGCTCATTTGTCATTTTAAAATTGTTTTGAGGACATTTAGGCTTTTTCATGATATTTTTACTATAAAATTACTTTATTTCCTTTTAAAGTAGAAAAGATATATTTAACTATTGTGTATGAGCTTTTTTGGATTACAATGTAATGACTCTCGTACCTTTGAAATCAAATTTTTAAAAGCTCGATTATACAGGTTTATTTGTCATTTAATAAAAAAAAATTTGTAATAATTTTTTGGTTTGATGGGCAAAGTGGTGTTTTTATAAATAAAAGAAAAAAAAAGTTATAGATATATGTGTTGCACGAGTCAACCGCTCCACTGCTTTCGGGTGTTACGCATGACTGACTCTAGTAGTCAAAATCATTTTTCCATCACGTTAATTGATTCTAATAGGCCCCCTCTTCCTCCATGTACGGCACGTGCGGTCAATGGATCTCTAGTGCGGCACTAATGACCTTTTCTTTCCCTTTCTTATCTTTTTTCTCCTATAAATTTATGTCTAGCCTTCTAAATTTGTAGATCAGTTTTTCAAGTTATTTTTCTTTTGATTTTGTCCCTCATTTTTGTTTTCAATCCCATCCTCCTTTAGTTTTTTAGTCTATTAGATTTGGTTCTTATTTTTTTTATTTAAGATACTTTTTTGAATTTGTTTTATTTTTCAATTTCACCTTCTACTTTTTTCTTCTTTCATATTTGATGCCCATTTTTTTTTTTACTTTGGTATGTTTTTTAATTTGAGAATTTTTTTTTATTTATCCTTAAATGTTAAATTGGTGTTAAATTGGTTGAGAATTTAATTTTTTAATTAAATTCAAGTTTGTAATTTCATTGATTGTAAGTTTAGAATATTAACCTTAGTTTTAAACATTCATCGAGATCAATTATTATGGATTGAAATAAAAAATTAATGTTTTGTCATAAAAAAAGCTTTCATGCTCACCATTCTTCAATGATTATGGGTTAGCTATTTTTTTTAATTCATCGCTTTTTACATTTTTTATGCAAAGTTAAATTACTATAATATACCTTTAAAAGCAAACAACACTTAACTCGAGTCTAGAGTTTTTTTTTTTAATTTCACTCTTGAAGCTTCACTTCAAGGGCTTCATTGTAATATTAGAGGTAGTTTGGTCTTTTAAAAAAATTTAAAAAATTATTTTATTTCATTTTTTGATGCTGGATTGGTTTGGAAAGACTTCATGAGTGATTTTTTTTGCTTTATATAGAGTTATCTTAGTCTCAAACAAAAATTTATTTTAAAATTGATACTTAAAATTACAAGCATATATTTTTTTTATTGTATAATTAAGTAAATATTATTTAAAAAACATATTTATTAAAATCAGTTGAGTTCATGAATCGAGTCACGGGGTGATTGAGGTCTTCCAATGTGTCATTGTCTTAATACTTGAAGTTTTTTTTTTTGTATTTTTTTTATAAGCTAAGTCATGTTTTTAGTTGTTATCTTACTTTTGAACCTATGAAATCAATAGATTTATATTAAGTTAACTTTCACGTGGTTTAATTGAAAACTTCCACAAGGCTAGCATAGGGTAGAAAAGTTTCAAAATTTACGTGCTTGATCGTGTTTATTAATGGCATTGATAAAAAATCATCAATGCTTTTAATTTTATTTTTTTTATTTTTAACAAAATTTGATGGAAGAGCGCAAGACAATTATCTTGAAATTAAAGACCTCGAGCCTATTTAGAAGTGTGATTGTTTGTTAAACTACTTTTTATTTAAGAATGTATAAAAATAATATTGTTTTTATTTTTTAAAAATTACTTTTGATATTAACTCATTAAAATGGTTTAAAAACATAAAAAAATTAATTTGAAGTAAAAAAAAAAATCTTAAGTTTTTTTCAAAAATACTTTTAAAACACAAAAATAAATAGGACCTTCTACTAAGCACAAATCAAATTTAGTTGACCTGTCCTGTTATGCATTATCAAGAGCCTAAAAATTAGATAACTTGTGCTGTACAAATCAAGTTAAAAATGTGCCCTGTTATTCTCTTGCTTCATTTCTAACTGTCAAGAGGAAGCGTTCAATTTGAAACATCATAGTTACAAGATGAACCCTATCACCTCTCATATCCAGTTAAAAATACACTATTCTTTCTGAACAACAAATTCATGAGAATTTTAATTTTCAGGTTGGTCCTATCATGCGGTTTAAACCTTACTAGTCGAGAAGACAACACATATCCCTCATTAAGTACCTACACAAACTTTGCATCTCCCAAGAAGATGAAAAACAGCTGAACCCTTTAAATCCCCGGCCTTCTTTCTCTACAGCAAGGGTACAGGGCATTAAAGTAAAATATCCCAGCAGATAGATGACAATTAATGTCTGCTGCGATCCATTGAAATATACACAAGATAACAAACACACTTGTTTTTTAGTTTAAAAAAATAAATGAAGTCTAAATTTCGCCCCCCTCGTCCGCCGTGGTATAGCAGAATTGAAGAGGGTAAGGTCACATTCACTTGATCATGATAGCTATCGAAGGGGGTATGGTAATGCTGCCAAAAGCCATTCCCTTCCCAACCCAAAAACCCTAACTCTCTTATGTTTTCACTTTCCCATTATTTTACTTGTTCTTTTTTTCCTTTCAAGCGAGGTCCTAGCATTTTCACCTAAATTTAGCACCACTGAAAACCTTTTAATTTGCCCTTTTAATTTGCCTTCAGTTTTATTGGCTTTAAAAGTCCCTTCACTCTATATAGTTACATCTCTATGCGTCTCTCTCTCCCTCTCTCTCTTCTCCATGACTTTCTATATATATGGGCCATAGAGTTTTACTGTTGTGATACAACAGCCAGTATCAAAGCAAGGAAGTTGTGAGAGAGAATCATAAAAGCCTTTTGCTTTCTGCTTTGTGTTTCTTTGCAATTTGCAGGAGCTATAGCTTACCTTGTTCTCTTTTATCTTCTTCTTGTTTGTTCTCCTCCTCCTCCTCCTCCTTCTTGACCTAAGGATCAGCTTGTACTCTCTTGACCATCAACTAATTAATTTCCTTACAAAACTCATCATGTCAAGCTGCGTCGATGTGGTGCCTCATGAGCAGCTCTGCTACATCCCTTGCAACTTTTGCAACATAGTTCTTGCGGTACTATATATCTGCATGATTTCTTCTCTAATGGGATCTGCTTTCTCTTTTCATCAGTTCTGATTTAGGCCACTTATCTATATATATTTTTTTTTTGCTTTGTTTTGTTTGGTTCTGTTTATTTTCTTTTTTTTGTGTGTGTGTGTGTGTGTGTGTCTACACAAGAAAGAAACATTTTAGGTCATGATAAAAGCTGGTCTGGGTGATCAGGCTCGTTCTCGTGCTAATTCTTTCTGTGAATTTTTCTTTCTGTGTTTCTGTGAATTTTTCTTTCTGTGTTTTCTTGATTTTAATTTGATATAGTCAAGTCTCCATCGTTGGACATTTCTTTTTCTTCTTCTTTTGCAGTCAAAGAAGAGTCAGACCTGAAGCTCCTATAGTGCTGCAACAGACCAGAGAGAGAGAGAGAGAGAGAGAGAGGAGATTATTGGCTATATTTTGTGCTATCTTCTTGAATAAAAGGCTTATTTAACGTCAAAATAAGTCATTTGCTGATAAACCTGATGAAGACAACTCCTTCACCAGTTGATTCTCGCCCCCCCACCCAACC